CACCTGTGAGCACAGACACACCTTACCACAGTAAGGAAAGATGGCCAAGCTGCTGGGTGAGACCAGAAAGGAAGGAGGGGCCGGGTGGGCAGGGCAGAATGGGCACCGGCTCTGGTCTGCCGCCCACCACTGCGCACCGCACCCCCATGCGGGGGACGCCGCAAGCCTCAGAGCTGCGGGCCTCGGCCAGCGGGCATCGGCTGAGGGCAGACCTGGGCCAGAATGTGAGCAGCACCTCCCAGCAGGAAGGCCAGAGAGGGATGTGGGCGCTTCCGTACGGTGCGCAGACACACCTGCCCGAGGCCAGCCAACTGCTCCAGAAAGAAAGGCAAGACATGACCGCAAGCCGAAAGCCTATTGCTTTTATTTTCCTAAAGAGGAGACTGACTGGCTCTAATCAGAGCTCTGATCATCCATTGTCTTTTTTATTGTTAGTCCTTTCCTCTCCCAGTGAGGGGTAACAGGCAGCGGCAACCATGGTCCTGAGATAGCCCACTTCAGTCTCTTCTGCGGTCAGTGCTGTAACCGTGCACTTTACCCTCACCCCAAGGGAGAGAAGAAAGATGGGGTGCTGTTGGAGATGATTTATGGCTGCCATCCTTAAAGATGACCATTTGGCTCACCACATTGGTGGTGTTCTAGAAGAAATCGTTCTTCCAGCACCAAGCGAATCCTGAGGCGGAGCCCAGATGCCGCCCGTCCTGGGCAGAAGCAGCGCGTGGGCAGGAGGGCTGCTCACAGTAGCCCAGGCTGGGGAGAGGCCCGCCGCTTACACCACAGTGGCCCAGACTTTCGAGGTCTTTGCCTAGAGCTGGCCTTGGACGTCACACATCTAACCTCTGCCTTCTGGGCAGCTGGAGTTATAGTACACAGGACTGTGCTTGGCTTGTTCTTTTGTGATATAGCCATGCTCACGGTCTGCCTTTATCAACCCTGAATTTGGACCCTCCTATCTCTGCCTCCTTTGTGGTTGGGATTATAGGTGGGAGCCATTATACCCAGCCAGATCATAGACGCTCAGGTCAAGAAAAGACTGAGGGGTCAACTAGACTAATTCCACTCCCAGAAACCCTCTGTGCTCACTCAAGATGGCACATGGCAGGTGAACCACCGTCTTAAGGCCAATTAACCCTTCCTGGAGGAGCCTGTGATGTCCTCAGTCTAGTCTGAAGAATTCCCTTCACCCTTGCTTTCTCTCATCTACCCCCTAGTTACAAGGGAGAGAACAGTGTGGTGCTGGCGGCTCATGCCTGAAAGCTGAAGACTGCAGCTCAAAGCCAGTCCAGGCAGTAAAGTCCCTGAGACCATCATCTCCATTTAAATACCAAAAAAGCTGGAAGTCGAGCTGTGGCTTAAGTGGTAGAGCCCTAGAGCAAGGAAGCGAAGGGAGAGTGGGAGGTCCTGGGTTCCCGCCCCAGTCCCAGCGCGCATGTGCACCCAAGAGGACGCACGGACAGGCCGGGGACCGGCTGTGGTCTCCCCCAAAGAATGCTGCAAACCTGAATCCAAGAGATTCGGTTCCTCAGTGGGCGACAGAATGGAAAACCTCTTGGGTGCACCGCAATCTTCTGAACCCTGTGTAGCACAGGAAAATCCTGCATGCTGAACTATGTGCTGAATGTGTTTGAACCCAAAGCGGCCTTCGGGCAGACGCGGTGGTAAACACTGCCGTGGGCAGTGGGTGAGGCCCACAGCCCCGCCCCCCAGCCTCCACAGGAGCCTCTCGGCCCATCACACTTCATAAACCTAAGTGCAGGTCCATCTTTTGATTCAGCAATTTAATAACTTCGAGTGCTGTCAGTACTGCTTTGAAAAATAGCACCTATAAAATGTAACAGCCTCAATCAGATTGAAAAAGATTCACCCAGCGAAGATTCTTCCATTTCAACCATAATGAATTAATGGGAAGCTGTGTGGAAGTTCAAGTGTCACTTAAACGAACGGGCATCGTGACTGTAACTTCCAATTCCAAGCGGCTCTGACCAGGACTCGGCTGGACCATCCACTTGGGTTTGTGAGGGCTCCTAGTACATGTGGAATGAAGATCTCCATCACAAATGGCCAGACACGGCACCGAGAGAGCAGACACGCACAGGCAGTGTGCGAGCCGGAGAGCCACAGATCGGTACCACAGCACGCATGCCCAGCACAATGCGCTTCGAGTTTTTAGAAGACACTGTCAGATTCAGCAGGGGTAGCAGCTAATCAGTGTGGCTAATTTCAGTCTTTTTGGAACAGATTCCGATTGGGCAAAATATGGAGCCTTGTGCAGGAGATGCAAATGGACTGCAAACGCAGCTTCCTGCCTGTCCGCGAACCCCAGCGTATCACCCATCTGCTCCCTGACCACAGGGACCTTGCACTCCCTTCCCCTGGCTACTGTGTTAAGGTTCACAGTCAGCCGCAGTGAAAAGCTCCCCTCCCCCCGCTTTTTTTTTTTGAAGTGTTTGTGTACTTGGTTCAGGAGGTGGCTTTGGATCTGGTCTGCTTCTCACCATGTTGAGATAAAGCTGAGCCCGTCCCCTGCAAGGACACAGCCCACCCTCTGGGGACCAACAGCACCCCCAAACCCTGGCAGGGCTGATGCTGATAGGGCTGAGCACCTGGCACCGTGTGTGTGTGTGTGTGTGTGTGTGTGTGTGTGTTCTTGGGCTACTAGCATCGTTTTTCCCTCAGAATAAATACCTTATGCTTTTGTTAAGCTTACATTTAATTAAAATGTACAGAATTTGTGCAGTAAACTCGAATGAAACAAATAAAACAAGGGCCCCCCTCTCTTGAAGGCATACGTTGTGAATGAAAAATGTCATTACAGACTAAAAAATTTTGCAGTAAACAGGGCCTACAGAGAGAAGTTTGCCTGTAATGACATCCATAAAATACACAAATGGCACTTTTAGTACCATCCTGAATATGGCATTTTCTGTGCTCTACACACAATCTAAATGGTTTGATCATAGAGCATAATACTCCATTGGGTTTATAGAACAATCAATGTTCCATAAAATGATGTATTTATCCAATAGTGGGCTCAGCAGTTACTGGCGTATGACATTGTAGGACACAGGCTAGG